AAATAATTTCCAAAATTACCCTTAAACCTAAATTGGAAAAATAATTTTCTTTTTAGGTAACTTACTTTTAAATTTGGAACTCGACTTCTAAGTTAAGAAATTGATTTCTAAAATAGAAAACTCTCCATTTTTAAGAAATTTCCATTTTAGGAAACTTTTTATTTTAGGAAACATTCCATTTTTGAAAAAAAATTCCAAAATAAGAAACTTTCAAAATTGGAAACCTTTCTCCAAAATCTTTACTTTTCTTTTATTAGGTGAATGCTTAAACTTATGCGTGTGACTCAATAGGCTCCTAGATATGTTGGCAATGTATCAAGAATAAAAGGCCTCTTTTATCTCTTGATACATAAATCAAGATTGACCTCTAGCAAGGTATCATGACTACCTAATTTTCTAGAAGAATTAATTAATCTATAATTTCCTTTTGCGAGCATGGTTACCATACAATTAAGCTCTCATGTCAATTTATCATTGTGTGATCTCGAACTTGGTTATTAGTTTATTCGATTATGATCACATAAGTTTTCTTCGATTCCTAAATGCCTTATCTCTTAGAGTAAGCTAACTATACTCTATTGGTGTACTCCTATTATGGCCATAGATTTCTTTAGTAGACATTTATTGAAATGCAATGTGGTAACTCCTTTAGCAAGGAAAGAATGATATGTCCTATCTTAGTCATCCACCTATCTCTAGTAGATTCATAGTGCACCTAACAAATCGTCATGTGTAACCCTTTACTAGGTCCATCAAAATGAGTGTCAAAGTACATAAACCCTCTAATAAGATAATTGTGATGATTTCAAGTCAAAGAACTATTTATACCCATCTCGTATCGATTTCTATAGGTTAAACTAAATGGGTTCTCAAGGCAAGTCAACTCCAGTGATATGTTCTTTAACATAAATCACCTAAGTGTTTGCTTTGGCATCATCATGTCAATAGGAGTGAGATCTCTTACTATTATCTTATAGCATGAGCATAGCACTTATAAGTCTAACTCGCATATAGTCAATATCCATTCTTGACAATGCTATGACTTGAGAAATTTAATGATATCATTTAAGCTCATTAATGTTTGGCTCACATCTTTCGATCAATCATTAATGTAATACATATCATAAGGACTTCTATCTAATTCTATTTAATAAGTAAATATAAACAATAATAACTAATATAAAAACTTCTTTTATTGATAAAATAAATAATCTAATATTATAATAAGTCAAACCTATCCAAATATGATTGGATCTTAAGTACCTACACTAATAGATTTTATGAAATACAATCCTAGATGGTTATAGAAACATATGTGAAATGTTTAACTGGATGACAATATAGGTGATAAGATGGTTTTTACACTTTTAAAATTAGGTCGAGTTTGCTACAAAGGAATTTTGGGAAGCACATAGAAATCATCATCCAACAATTTCATGATGTAATAAAGTGTCGTCTCCTAACATACCTATTAAGATAATTAGTTTCATTTGGAGGCAGATTTATAAGGTTATACATGCGGACGGCAATGTCAAAGTCCTAAAAATTTCAATAATTTTGATGTGTCATTTTTGCCATACTCATCACGATGAATCTTTTGATCATTTGTTTCGACACTCGGAGAATGCTATGCAATTTTGGAATCATTATGGCTGAATGTTTCAAGTGAAGACCAAGTATACTTCTAACTCGGACCTTGTAAATTCTTGATTTTGTAGTACAAAAAATTAGGCATGTGTCAAGTTGTAATATGTTTTTTTTTATCCTATTGAAAATTTGGGAAAATAGATGTTAGGCACAATATGATGATATTTGATGAGTGTAGATTTGGTTAAAAATTGAATATATACACACCTTGTGGACTTATGTGTGGTTTATAAGCCAAAAAAAAAAAAGAATGCAATCTCCAAGGAAAAAATAAATCAATGCAATGTAAATTACTTTTTCTATCGGCTTTATTTGTAAGGGGTTTATGTTTAAAATAGCATCCCCAAATGTAATAATCGGTATCTTCTAAAACTAGAATTTAATTAAAAGTAAATACTAAAATGCATATGAAAAATGTTTTGAATGTATAATATAATCTTTAATGACTTAAAAGAATATTTGAAATATTTAAAATAGTATTTTTCTCGTTTAACGAATATTTTATTTATTTTATAGTGCATGAATAGTAAATTTTGCATGAAATAATTATTTTGAGCATATTTTGTATGCATGAAACTTTTTTTTTTTTTTTTTTTTGCTTAGAATGTTTTTTAGAGGGGTGTTGAATCATTTTATATGATTATATGAATTTTTCTATATGTTGTGAATATTTTCAATATTTTATTTGAATTTTTATGTATAGGAATAGTATTTTAGAGGTAGAATAATTAAATTACGTACTTAAAAAGGATGAGAAATTATTTTTAAAGGCATAAATAAATCATTTAGGATGTGTAGGAGTATCTAATAAATTTAGGGAATATTTCTTATAGGAAATAGTGTAATTTTCACACTAAATAATTAATTTGGAGGCCTAAATGAGGGTATAAAAATTATGCAAATCATGATTAACTTCTTTTAATAAATTTCTAAATTTATTCTTGAGAGAAATTGAATTTTGAAAAAGTATAGAATAAAATTTTAGAATTAAGGACCTAATTGCATGGAAATTAGGGACCTAATCGCAAAAAAATTAAAAATTTCAACTTCTAAATTAAATTAGCTATGAACCTAATGAGTTTAAAATTTTTTAAAATACCTTTAAGGGAAGGACCTAAAGTGATCAATTGAAAATTAAAAGATGATTGGAGGAGTAATTAGAGAAAAGATTAGTAAAATGAGGGACTAAAATTAAGAAAAATTTTGGACACTTCTCCACCCATACAACCAAAATTTTACTGCATTATTAGAGCCTAATTAATGAGCTTTGACTCACTTAAAAAGGAAAGGTTAAACAGGATACAAAATGGAGGGTTAGGAATTAGAAAAAAATAAAAGTTAAAAACTTGTTCAATTGAAGGGCTAGGATTAAGAATTAATTTAAGTGGCCAAGATCACTCCAAAATACAGTAATTCAATGGTGGAGATGAAGTCAAAATTCCACCAAAACATTTACCTATAAATAGGGTTACAAGAAATTAGAGAAAATGGATGAAAATTAGCAAAAACCTAAGGAAACTCTTGAAAACATTTCCTTAGGAAATTACACCCAAAACCACTAGAATCACCACCACACACCTTAAATCAACTAATCAAGCAAGGAAATCAAGTTAGGAGATCAAGAATTATCAAGGGAAAAATGTAATTGATATTTTAGAGCTTGATAATGACTTAATTAGGATTGAATTAGTGTTTAGGAATGAAATGCCTCACTTTAATTCAAGAAAAAATCGTGAAATTTCTAGGTTACATTTGGCCTAAACTTGAATTTTTAGGTTTTAAGCTTCATTCATTCAATTCATGAATTTTTGGTCAATTGGTACTTGAATGAGTATAATTTGATGTGTAAGAAGGAAAAAATTAAAGAAAATTACTTAATTTGACTTAGGCCCACTAAGGCCCAATTTGGGTTTAGACATGAAATTATACCATAAATGTTAGCTCAATTAATTTCTATTGTTAATATGTATCTAAGCTAATCGGTATTAAAATTCTAGGATGAAATGAGAAGAAAATAATAGGGTTTAAGTTAAAGGTATATTCGGCCTAAATGGGTAAATTTAGGATTTAGGTTCCAAATGGTCTTTAGCACTTTGATTAACTAATTTAAGCTTAGAACAACGTAATTAAATGAATTAGAATGAAAAACTTCATTGAGATCTAAAAATTAACTTATGTTAGTAAAGTCTAAGGCCCAAATTAAAAATAATGCATATAATTAATCAAACAATACCTAATTATGTTGATTCATGAAAGAGGACATAATTGAAAAGAATTTGATGTGTAATGGATGTTAGAAATGAAAAGTAAATGGTTAGGTAATGTTAGGGCATAATTCGGCTTAATGTGGGAAATATGGGACTTTGATTTATTTTGTATAACTTTGTGTATAATTATGTTTTTGAATGGTGTTTAATGTGTTTGAATTGTGAATGTTGTATTTAGTGAAATGTGGATGATGGTGATGTTATGTTGTGAGGAATGGTATATTGGTATTGGTATGGATTATGATAGTTGATATTGTTTATGCAAGGTCATATTATTAATGCAATTATATTGTTGATTTTATACATTATCATAACATGATTGCATGATTATTTATGGCATGCATCTCATGAGTCAATGCCAATTATGCATTACCAATAAAATGCTTATGCATGCTTAATTTCATGAAAAGTGTTTTAAGGTCATGAAAATGTATTTTTACGTCATGGTTTTTCCAATAACAAATTGGAATTATTTTAAAGAATGTGGTTTTCATGACTTGAGGATGTTATGAGGAAAGGACTTCATGGGTTTTCCATATGGTAATGGTAATGGTAATGGCTCATGGTCAAGGAAGTGTAGACGTGAACTTTTAGAGCTCGAGCAGGGTGCATTTGTGGATAAGGATGTTCACTATTCGGTAAAAATCGAATAATTGAATCGAACCGTATCGAAATATCAATTTCGATGTGATTTTAAAAAAAATAAAAAAAACAAACTGAAATACTTTTGATTTTTGGTTTCGGGTTTGGTTTTTTTAAAAAAAAATCGATTAAACTCGAATAACCAAAATTATTAAAATATATATATTTTTTAAAAAAATTAAGTCAACACAGGAACACTTATCACATTGTCACTCATCCCTTCCAAGTTCTATCTTCCCTCACACCAATTTCTAAAATAGCTAAAACTAAACCTCCCCTAATTCCAAATCGTAATCACCAAATCATCCCTCTTCGATCTTCACTTACCCTATTACCCACCTTCTTCCTCCTCCCTCGCCGTTAGTGCCGACTAGCCAGTACAAATTTGAAATCCCTAAAATAGCTAAACCTCCCCTAAATCGTAATCCCTAAATTTTCAGCCACATGCCCACATCCCCATTCCTCTTCACTTACCCACCTTCTTCCTCCTCCTTAGTCCTCACCCGGATTGTAGTGGGTGCTAATTTGTTGGGTTTGAGTGAAAGGCCGGTTTTGGCTAAGAAAGCTAGTTTGGTCGCGAGGAATTTTATGGATGCAGTGAGGACAAAGAAAGTGAGGTTAGGGGTCTATGGACTATGGTGATGGAATTGTTTAGGGAAAAAATGATTGAGAGGGATTTTAGGGCTAATGGGTTTGCTAAGTATATGGTGAACGATATGGGAATGGGTGTGGATGTTGTAGAGGAAAGTGAGGATGAGAGGTTGCCTATCTTGCCTAGTGCTACTTTAGGTAAGTAGTTATTCATTGGGATGGTGGCAAATGGAGATGGACATCTTGGCACCCAAGCTCTTATAACTATTACAGAGAGGCTTAATGGCAAGTAAGACTGTCTTATGTCTCATTCTCGCTTATGAGCTAGCAGCAGCTATGCGTTTGAATTAATCCATTTAGCTTGAATATACCTATATGGACTCGGATGAAGAGGTTGGTGTAATGTAGCATGTATTATGTTCTCTTCTCGCCCATCAAAACTACATAACTCTTAACTTTGTGAATAAGTTGCTAGATTGGTTTTGTGTTCTATGCAAGTGAAATTAACTTTGTGAATAAATAGCATCCGTCATTGCACAATAGCTTATCTCAAGGATTAAATAGTAAAATGTTGAAATGTGTTGATTATGGTTTGTATTTAGATGGAAAATATTGCTAGTTAGACCAAGGATCGATTAAGGTATTTGGTAAATATCTTGATATCTCTTATGTTCGGTTGACAAGTGTAATGTTGCTATTGTATAGTAGTGTTGATCATTGGCACAATTGTTACCTTTTCTTATCTATGACTATGCAACTTTTTGCGGTTAGTTTTACAAAAACTTCAATATGTATTCTCGCTTAAATTAACCATGCATGGAAATCAATATTAACAAATTAACGTCTTGTTAGTCTTTGAAAAATTAGATATGAAATAGAAAAAATGATGGTTTATACTATAGTGAGTTACTCTCAAGGTTTCTATTTCATTGAAGAATTTCAATATCGAAGTTGGGATTTGAAGAACAAGTAACCTCATTTAAAAGAAATGTTGTGCATACAAAATGTTATTACGAACACATCTTACTCATTGATGAGATCACTTTTGTTGTTGTTTTAAGACTTATCTTATGTCTCAGTCAAACTTCAACCTTATTTCTAGACAAAATTTTAATCCGACTTTTTTTTTAATGAAAAGAATCAAGTAAATATTTTACGAGTTTGTACAGACTTCCTTTTTGTACAAAAATTTAGAAGTCTAGTTTTTTCTTATTCATGTGTCGTGGCTTCGAATTTTGATCACTTCTCTTTTCATGGTTTAATTGAATAACTTTTTCTCTTTTAGCTCTCATATTTCTCTATTAAATAGAAGCCTCGATTTAATCTTTGTTCCTTAAGAAAGGAATCAGCCTTTCTTATTTTGGTTCATATGACATCTCTTTTTCTTTTTGCACATGCCATCTCTAGCCTCTTGTTTTTATAAAGAAATTGAAGCCTATTTTATTACTCTTCCGTAATTTCATGAAATTTTCAAAGTATGTTAGAGGTCGAGAATCCAAAATTATGATTATATTAAAAATCTCATGAGTTTCTACCCAAAACTTAAAAAAGTTAGCAAATTCTATGAGAATTCAAATATTAATTGTTCAATTTTAAACTATTGGTCAAAGTTTACTAAATTTTTTATTCAACCAAATTTGTAAAAGCCTCATAGTCGACATCGGATAATCCAATAGTTAGATAGTAAGTCACTAATCATTGAGCGAGAGAATGGTCCCAAAGGTGGGCATGTTGCATGTTTAAGGCTTTCCTTTTAGCAACAAATATAAGTCTATGGATTCCTACAATTGTGTCATTGAAAGGATCTCGGAGACCCACCAAAGCACGAAAGCCGAGTTATGGGACATTCAACATTCGTAGGAAGTGTTAGCCCCTTAAAAAGTGCATGCTCTCTTCAAAAGTATAGATAATTATAGGTAAAAATCAAATTATCGAATATCAAAATTGATATATTTTAAAATCGAATCGAAAAACCAAATAAAATTTGGTTTGGTTGTGGTTTTTTTTTTTTTTTGAAAATTCGATTAACCAAAAACAGTTCAAAAAATTTTAAAACCAAACCGAATAAGCAAACAAATACCCCTATCTATAGATGGGTTTGGTTTATCGAACACCCGTTATAAAAGCGCTCGAAGTACCTAAATGGGACATTTCTAAAGACGAAAATGGATTTTTGAACCGATCATGAAATGTATTATGACATGGAAAATGGAATTAATATACATATACCGAGTATTTCACACATGCATGTATATGCACATACAAGACATGCATAAGTTAATTTATGGGGCTATCACTCATCTAGTTACTTGTGATGTAGATAATTAAGGTACGATGGCCTATTTCTTCGATGAGCTGATTTTGAGTGGTGCACTAGATGGATATACCTTCGATAGGGTTTCAGCTTCTAGGTGGATCTACTATATGCTATTTTATTTCTAGCATTAGCTATTTTCTTATACGTGTGAGGATTAGTTGGTCGGTTTTATGCTATAGTGAAAGCTATGAACAAGTAGATGGAGTAACTTTAAAGTAATATAGTTAGTCAATAAGCTAATTTTGTAGTAGTTGATATTAGACTAGTTTTATATGTAAATAACATATGTATGTAATCGGGGTACTAATAGTAAAATGATAGTGTACTCGTAGTAGTGTAGTTACTACCAATTACCCTTTGCATGCTTGTATCCTTAGGACATTTAAGCAATATGATTAGATACACGTCAAATAAAACAAATGGTAAATAGGGAAAAGAATAAGTGATATAAAAATGATAATAGGTTATAACTAGATAAATTTTCATAAATTAATAAGGAAAGATATTAAGACAATCGATTGTCATGAAACCAAAAATCCCAATTCGGAGAATGTAAATAAAACAATAAAATGCAAAATATTTGTAACGCCTTTTTAGTTAAAGTTTAGGACTTACCTTGCTAATATTATATTTCTATGGCATAGATTACACTTTAGACATTGAGCTTAAGTCACAATGCCTTGTTAGCTTGCATTCATTGCACCTCGAATGTAAGTTAACGGTGGTAATATTCTTGACCTTTTAGGTCCGAGGTTGGAGGTGTTAAAGATATGTTATTAGACAAAGTTTACCGAATCACATCCAAGATATATGAAAGGCAATCTCAAAAATCAGTAAGTATGTTTAATGAATAATGGTTATGATTGTTTGTTGTGTATATGATGAATGTGAATGGTATGATGTTATCTTCGAATGTAAGGTTATAAGTTGATATGATATGAATGACTTCATGAGCATTGTATATATGTGAAATTAAAAAAGATCATGCCACCGAAGTAGGTTAATAATAATAATACTAGTAATAACGTGGGGTTGAGTCGTATGTCGAACGACCAAGAGAGAGAATTGATGGAGCCGCTTAGGAGACGAGCAGGAGATGAAGGAACTATAACAAGAGAGGCATGAGGAACGGATGCAATGAATATTGGAGATGACTCGACGTTATCCAATTAAGACACGTCGACCATAAAGGATCGGTATAGTAGAATGGTTCCAAAGGTTCAATCTAAAAGAATTTAGGGGTGGTCTAAACCCTAGCATCATAGACGAATGTATTGAATCCATGGAGGTTATTTTTGAAAACTTGAACATGAGTGATGCGGATCGGGTAACTTGTACCACCATTATGCTAGTTGCCGATGCACGTAACTAATAGGAGACAGCTTAAAGCATCACTCGGTGAAATGGGACATACTTGGAATCAATTCAAGCATCCGTTTAATGAGAAATGCTTCTTTGACACTCGTAAGATCCTATAAGATTCAAGACTCCCTCTAGCTATGTTGGTTATCGAATATGTATGCAAATTTCAGCATGGTTGTTGTTATGCCACTTTCATTATCGAAAGTGAGGAGAGAAAGAAGGAACATTTCCTCCATGGTGTCATGGAAAAAATAAAAAGCTTTGTTCGAATGTCAATTGATACTTATAAGGACATAGTGAGAAAGGCACTCGAGTTGAAGTAAACCAAAAGGAGAGTGCTCGTATGCCACCACCAAGTATAAGAAAATGAGCAATGGCCCTAAATAGATTTAGAGTATAGCTCGGTAGGAAGAGGCCTTTTAATCCAAACTCGGAGAAGAGATAATAAGAAATGGAAGGCACTTGTAAGGCCACAAAGAATGGAGGATCCGAGTAACTAGAAAAGCTCAAAATGTCAATGCTCGTATACCAATGATTGTCCGATGGGCACGAATGTATGCTATATCTATTGAGAATCTAAGCATCTAGCTAATAACTTTCCAAAGAGGAAGCCGATAGAAGGACGATGTGTTCTCGGAATCATGTACACACCGACATAGGAGGAGGCAAATAAAGGAGATGATAATGTGATATGTGATAATGTCTTGATCTTCAACTTTACTCCATATGCATTGGTAGATTCAAGTGCCACGTATTCATTTACCGGTCGTTCACTATTAAGATGATTAGGCATGGCATCGAAACATTAGATGTAACGAATGAAGTGGCACTCCCATCGGAAGAGTCATTAGAAGCCGACATCGTAATTAAGGAATATGATATGAAAATTGGAAATTATATTTTACATATCGTAGTCATGAGTATTTGAGATTTCGATGTCATACTTGGTATGGACTTCCTATCCAAGAATAAGGTGTTAATTCATTATGGTAAAAAGGTGATATTTCACCCACCGAATAAGCAACATGTTGAGTTGCATACGGGGACTTGGATAAGACCCGTAACCTTAGTTTTAGCCATGACGAGTTAGAAATTAATAAAAGGTGGATGTAAAGGCTATTTGGTAAATATGGTTGATAGTAAAAAGGAGGGAAGTCCAAAATTAGAAGATATAAAAAGTCCCCGGATGTCTTCCTTGAAAATATATCAAGGCTACCTCCAAAAGGGGGCGACATTAAGAGTTATTGCTTCCTTATAAAAAGTCCCCTTTAGGACTCTAGGTTGTTGCTTCCTTATCCTCCAAAGATGAGGAGTTATTTCTACATGTGGATTTTTTTATCATTATCTTCAAAATATTCATCCTTATCCAACAAGGTTAATGTTTATCCTCCCACAAAAATATCTTAAGGCTTTTAATTAAACCTAATGGGCTAAAATCATTTTAGCCTAATTAATTTATTTAAACTATCCAAATAAATAATCTTAGATTATTTTAGGCGGGTCCACATTAGAAAGCAATTTTCCAAA